GGGCGGGGCGGGGCGGCGGAGCTAGGAGCCAGCGCGGGCGTCGCTCCGGCTAGGCGGGCGCTGGGCGGCCGCGGCGGCAGTAGCAGCAGCATCCTCTCCTCCTTTTCTTCCCTTCTGCTCCTTTCTCTTCCTCCTTCTCCTTTTTCTTCTCCCCCTGCCCCGCCTGCCCCTTTTACTCCTTCCCCGGAGGGCTTTCTCTCTTCAAGTGTGGGAGCGGCGGCAGCGGCGACCGCGGATGCATCCAGTGTTTGCGTCCAGGTAAGAGCTCCGTCGCCACCTCTGGCTCTATGTAGGACGTCTGTCTTTCCTCTCCCTCGGTCTCTGAGTAAAGCGAAGCTCAGCCTGCAAGGGGACGGGAGTGGGGAGGGGGCTGTCTTGTCCTCTGTGCCTTGGAAACAGACACAGGTTGGCCAAATGTCCAGTCTCCCACCTGGCGGAAGCTTCAGTCCAGGCCTCTCCAGGTGTCACCACAGAGCGCTAGTACCTGGGCTCTAGCCTTGTAGAAGAGCGAGTGACTTTTTAGGTACCACTTTGAAGCGCCAGAAAACTTACCTCGGGCTACGTTATGCGTAATGAGAGCTAATATTATCTGAGCTGTGGAGAGACTGGGAGTGGGTCATTATACAAAGATAATGGAAAAAAGGAATTTGAGTGGAGTGTTTTTTTTTTTTTTTTGGTCCCATCCAGCTGTAGAGAACTGCACATCGACGAATGAGTGAGGGAAATCTTGTCACTTTAAAATCGTTTCCCTTGTACTTATCCAGAAACAGCTGGAAGGTGAAGATTGATAAATATTTATGCATTTAAGAAAATGAAGAACCAATGTCTAGTGGTGTTGGAGGGTGGGGCAGTAAGAAATGACTCGTGTTGAGCTTGCCCGTACACATAGGCTTTTCTTCTTTTTAGACGATAGGGCTGGAACGCTGCATCCACAGTCCATCTGTTCTTTTCAAAAGGCTTTGAGGGGGCTGCAGTGCTGGCTGCTTTCTTTCACCAACCTCGTCTTTTGTTTAAGGATGGAGATTTCAAGACTGTGTTCGAGAGCCCAGGAGAGAGAGAGAGAGAGGGAGTGTGTGTTTTGGGGGCTGGTAGGAAAGTGGCTCGAGTTAGAAAAACCATCCTTGAAAACTGGAAGTTGATGTTATTCTGCCTGGCCTGAGGCCTTCAGGATTTTGTCAGAAAATAAAAAGCTTTCATTAGCAACCCGTTTGTGACAACTGCTGTGTGCCATCTGCCATGAGCCCTTAGCATAATGCTTCCAGGACATAGACCCTTTAAAACAGAGTCAGTGTAAAGGTTTTTGTTTAAATGCATACACAGCAATACACACAAACATGCACAAACACACACACATATAATATACTGTATGCATAATGCTGCAAAAGGGAGTGGATATGTAAAAGACAGATCTTTTGAATTCATTTTGGGGAGCTTAGGGATTATGGTATGAATGAAATCTGTAATGCAAAACAAAAAACTATTGTTGGGAGGTGTATAATTTTGAATGTGAAACAAAGGGATTGATGAACGTTGGTAAGGAGCTAATTTAAATGCTAAAGGTATAATTTATTTTAAGATGATCAGCCCGGGAGAGGAAATAACTGCAAACTGAAATTGAGGTTTACAACCGCAGTGAGGCGGTGGAGAACAAAGCCTTTTTATGTGAGCCACGTTATGCAAAACGTCCCATGCTTGAGCTGCAGGTACCAGCCCAATTTAAAAGCATAGCTCTGTGACCCTGTCATTTTACTGAAGGTAATTAGGGTCTTTTTGGCAGTGAAAATAGATTGAATAAATAAAACCTCTTTAGAATGCTTTTGATTTTATGCTCAAGAGGAAGATAGCAGCCTTTTACCTGAATATGACACAAAACACCAGTTTAACTGGGCGATAGATGTCTGTATTTTGATAGGAATCCTTATGAATTTGTAAATCATGGATATTTCAATCACCTCAACACATACACACAAAACCCCTCCTCCAAAAAAAGGTGAAAGGCAGTTTTTAATAAACAAAAAATACTGTGCGTGTGTGTGTGTGTGTGTGTGTGTGTGTGTGTGTGTGTGAATGAGTGCATTGTAATATATCCTGGGAATTTTATCTGATTATCATAGGTTTACATCTGTACTCATGATTTATGTAATGTCAGAGCCATTGTGCCTTTAGGATCAGTGGTACATGCCGTTTATTTGTTCATGGTTGATTTAATTTAAATTTTTAATATTTCACAGTTTTCTATAATTTTATTTAATTTCCCAAAGGTTTTTTTTTTTTTCCTGTAAGAGAAAATTGCTTAACACATACACCTGGAGATATAAGTAATTTGAAAAATGAGCTTATTTTTAAAAAAATGAGATTTTGATTGCATGAAATTTCCTTTTCTGTTTCTCTCCTCTCATATATATATACTTATATATGTGTATTTTTTTTCCTTCTGGGCAAATAACCTGTTTCTTCCTGACTGTGCTCCTTTAAGCTTCTGGTTATTTCTAGGCTACCAAAAGCACAGCCAGTGTTCTCAGGAATTTCGAACTCAGGATTTGTTCCTTCTCTGCAGCAGTTCTCTCTCTGGATGACTTGTTTACAGCACCTTCTCAGGGAGGAGAGGGAGAAAGAATGTGCTGAGAGAGCAAGACCCAGTGAAACTGGTACAGCCATTACCTCATCATAGCAGGTACTTCAGATTCTTTGAGAGAGCAGACATCCTCTCAGTGGAAACCCAACACCAGGAGCACACCCATCTCAAAGGAAAAGCCCTTCTCTGCCCAGAGCAGCCTCTACTAATGTTGCTCTGCTGAGGTTAAAGGGATGTTTTCTCTTTCATGTATTTCTTTTCAGGGATCTTGAACTTGGCCAGAAATATGCAGCCAGAAATGAAATTTGGCACAGAATCCTCTAAGCCTGAAGGAATAATTTCATTCCTTTACCACTTTTGGTTTAAATCAATTTGCAAGTTTTCTGCACGTCAGAAGGGAGGAGGAGGAAAAATGCTTGTTGGTGTATTTTTGCATGTTTTCTTACGACCCGCTATAGTTTGTGTTGAGTTTTGCTAGCTATAAATTACATAACAGACTGGATTGCTATGCTTTTGGGAAATATAGTTGTGCTTTTGGCACTTAAAATGGTTATTACCTTCACTTTGATGCATAAGTGACAATATGTCTATCCCTAAATTATTCACTGAAGTCCATATGACCTAGGAAACCCACTTGGTGATTTTAATATTCAAGTTGATTACTCTGATTATTGAACTTTTTTCAGTGCTTAATTTCCACTTGACAGTAAGATAAAGAGTCTAATAATAGTTACAGTTGATGATAACATCATACCCAGATCAATACTATACTCCTTAATATTAAAAGTAGCCATTAGGTAAGTCACTAGTAAATGCATGAACCTGAAAATAACAGTTCTAAAACAATCCCAACCTCTCTTTCATGTCTGATACATCAATTAAAGATGCTAATAAGCTCTTTGGGTCATATCTGTTTCTCTCAGATGTGTTAATTCTTTTTAGTACTTTGATTCTCTCTGTGCTTTAATATTACTATTGCTTCAATCTACATAATCTAGGCCTTCCTTTTCATCTGTGGACAATATTTTGATCATTTCACTGATTTTTTTTTTCTTCCTTCATACCATTCTTTTTAGTTGCACATTTGAATGTTAGGCTTACTGTTGTCTAGGTCTTTTGGCTTCCACTCTGTTACTCTCTTGACACAGATTTAGCCTTTACCTTTTATTTAGGAGAGCGTTTATTCCCATTTATTTATTTATTCATTATACATCCGTTAAATTTCTACTGGATGCAAGATATCATACTGGGACCTATGTGGGGGAGATAACAAAAGACATAGCCAACAGGGTCTCTGGCTTTAAGGAATTTACAATAAAGCTGGAGTAATTTGTTTCTTTTATAATGGAGAATAAGATGTAGCATACAAATGAGTAGCTATTGCATTTCAGATATGACACGCAAGTGCTAGAGACTGCATTTGGACACAGAGGCAATGTCCCAGCATCTCATAGACAAGCTTTTATGCAGTAATCATATGAATGTCTCTTTGTTCCACGTATACCTTTTTTTAAAAAGAAAATTAGGGAGTGATAAAATATAACTTTTTTTTTTTTTTTACTGTTGACATATAATTATAAATAATAGTGTATAACTGTCTTTGAGTGTGTGTGTAACTGTTTGTGTTGGACTGCTAACCAAAAGGTTGGCAGTTTGAACCCTCCTATCAGCACCTCAGATGAAAGTCCTGGCAATCTGCTTCCGTAAGATTAAAACATAACAAACCCGATGCCATTGAGTCGTTCTGACTCATAGTGACCCTCTAGGACAAAGTAGAACTTCCCCATAGGGTTTCCATGGAGCAGCTGGTGAATTTGAACTGCGGGCCTTTTGGTTAGCAGCTGATGTCTTAACCACTGTGCTACCAGGGCTGCCTCCATAAAGATTACAGCCAAGAAAATCCTATGGAGCTCAGTTCTACTCCGTATGTAACACATGGGATTGCTGTGAGTTGGAATCGACTCAATGGCAATGAGTTTAGTTTTGCTTTTGGTATATCCAGACATAATGCAAGTACTAATAGTCTCTCAAATGCTTCCCTTATATACACATAAAGAAAGCTGTAAAAGGTCATGTCGTTAAATGCTGGAAAATACATGGAATTTCCAACTCAGAATATTCTGAGAAACAACTTTTGATATTCTTAAGGAATTATCAGTCCCTGGAATTGATTCCAGGCACCAAAAGCATCGGAAGAACTGTAAATTAAGAACTGCTACACAAAGGACCATAATCATGGGAGATGGTGTGTGTGAAAATTTGGGTGGGTGGGGAGGGGTAGAGGGTGATGAGGAACAAAAGCAAATGCTCAGCTGGTAATAGTTGTCCGTGTAGGAAGACGATGAGGCAGAGCCATAGAGATGAGGCTTTTTCTGAGTGGGTGGAGTGGGAAGAAATCTGTTGTTTGTCTACCTTGACAAAATATTTTGTCCCCATCCCTCCCCTGCCATTCCTTTGAACTAAGGCCATGAGTGTTTCCTTGTAAAGATTATACAGGATGCTCATGGGAGGCACTTCTGTAGTGAATTAAAAATTTTAAACAATGTGAATATGATTAGTTGACTTTTTATGAAAAACACTTTGAATCTAATCTTTCTTGTTCAAGAAAGACAGATTTTCCTTTGAGGGGTAGTACTTTATGATCCTTTTCACTTACACGTTTTAGTAAAAGCCTATGGAAATT